GCAGCAGCTGCTGCATCAGCAAAGCAGCCGCGGCAGGCGCATAGTGGCCGCGCGCGTGTGACCTGTTGCAGAATGTACGCCAATACGACAAGGAAGCACTCACGCACACGCGTGTGCAGCAGCAGGACCGGGCTCTTTTCAGGATCACGCAGCAGCCATGCAGCAGCCATCAGCCAGCATTGCTGCATGCATACTGTACATTGTACATGCGACGAGATCTGCTGCAGCTGCACAGATATTTCTGCTGGTGCGCAGCAAGTGTAGAGATGAGATGCTGCAGCTGGTCATGGCGGAGGCTGTGCCCCGCCTGCGTTTGGTAAGCCGAGCTTGGGCTCGAGCGGGAACATCCATCCGTATACCCGCGCCGTGACTGCTGTGACTCTTCTCAACTCTTGGCTCCTCCAGCTACTCAGCATTCCCGAGAACGGGGCAGACCGCGTCGCACTTGCTTCCTCCCCAGACCGCTCATTCATGGGCTAGTAGGAAAGTTTTCTGCTGTCAAGTTTCCTCGCTTCTGCGGACGATGCTGGTTGGGTTGAGGTGAATTGTGAAGTGAAAGCAAGTGTGGTAAAGTGTCAAGTATTGGCCGCTCGATCGTGTGATAGCTAGGCGACAGCAACTATAGATCAATGCGTGTGGACGCAGCTAGCAGCCCGCGCTGCTCGCGATGCATGCAGAGACTCACCCAGTCACGAGTCTGCATGCATCGGACTTGGTATAGCCAACAAACAAGTCACGCGAGCGAGCGCAGCATGCGGCAGCAGCTGCTGCCGAAAGATCAAGGGTCAAATGTGAATCAAATGTGAATGTCTGACTTCCACACGCGCAGAGGGCAAAGAGGCGATGCTGCATGAGGCCAGATAGCTGCGAGGACCCTCTCTCTCTCTTTGCTTGACCCTGCTGACTGCCTGGCTCAATAATCACGAATTGTGAATCGTTCATGCATTCTTCCCTCGGCTTGGGCCTTCCGCCATTCAAGCAGCGAGTACTGCATGTATGCATGTCAGCAAGCGTGCAATTTACCAAATTCTTTCCCTTGATTCTGCCCTGCTCGCTGCAGTCACCCTCACATTGGCCCTCGATCTCGCTTCCACACTCACCTGTGCCTCCTCACAGCCCAACATCACCATCTCTCTCGCCGCATTCCTTGCGACACTTGTCCATCCAAACCTCCGTTCATTGTGTTGCTCCGATCCGCCCTCGTCAGACGCCCTCATCCGCTTCGCGCCATCCTCGTCGCTTCTTCACCTTCCTCGCTGCCTCGACACCGCCTCTGACAGCGCAATGGCGCCCTCCCTCTCCCGAGCGTGGAGCGACTTCGCTTCTGCTTCTGCCAGCTCCTCTTCTGCCGGACCCTCATCCGAGGTGTCAACACAACCCATCAACGAGTCAGTCACCGCCTCATCACGAAGAGTCACGCCCTCTAAAAATAACGGCTTGCTGGCTCCCATTCAGACCCCTCGGCATCCTGGCTCGGCATCTCCACGCTCTCGCGCAAGATCGATAGGCCGCATGGATGCATCCGAATCAGATCGGACAAGCGCTGCTAAGCGCTCCAGCGCTCTGCTACACCTTCAAGATCCCGATCGAGGACCTGGAACGCCCGACTTCACCTTGTCTTCCACCTTTAGATCGCCCCGCGATGGCGAGGCACGTCTTGCGCAGAGTGCGGTGGCACCAGAGATCGGGCAGAATCAACATGGTGAGACCACTTGCGAGCGTGGTTGTTGAGACGTCCTGCTGCATGTGACTCGTGACTGATCATCGCACCATTCCCTTCAAGCAGGCCTGGCGCTGCCTGCTTTTGCACGTCCCCGCCTTTCTTCTTTGCGCTCACTTTTTGGCGTGTTTGGCGCTGCTCAGTCTTCGGAAGGACGGCTTGTCGAGCAGCCTCGGGGAAAGCTGCGATCCAGCATGGATGGAAATGAAGAGGTAGGCGGCGCTACATCTTCCAGTCGATATCAGGGCTTGACAGCGTCGGCCGAGGCGCTCGCAAGTGACGAGGTGCCGGATGCTGCGAACCGCCACGCTCGCCGACCCACGCAGCTGCTTGCTATGCCCGCCGCACGACAGGCAGGGCCGAGCGGATTGCTTGGACTCAATGACGACAGTCCGCCGCTCACCCCGTCCTCTGAGGGTGCGCACGATACCACCGAAGACGATCTTCAACATGGCGCGCGCAAGTCTCTGGATGTCAGACACCATTACCATACCCCAAAGCATCACTGGAGCGCCGCGCAAGCTGCGGCTGACCGGCAATCGCACGCGACTCTGACTCCCACCAGCTCAGTGACGTCTGGACGTCTCAGCCCCGTCTTCAGCACAGTCTCAGCTGACTCAAACGGAACATTCTCGCCGCCTACGCGTCCTGGATCTAGCGCTCCACCTCACGCCAAGGCGTCCACCGGCGCTGCGTCACTGTTGCCCAGTCACATTGTGACGCCGCCTTCGAGCCCAAGAGGCGCTGCGCAGCAGCTAGCTCCCTCCACGAATGTGCCGTTCGCAGCAGCTCTCGCATCCTCGCCAGCGGACGTCTTCGTTTCGCTTCCGTCGCGTGCCAAGGCTGCGTTCGCGAGCGTGCAACTTCCGCCCATCCGCCCCCATCTGCCTGCATTGCTCTTCCTCCTAATCGCCTTCGTGGGCTCGACCATCTGCATCGTATTGGGTCTGTCGACCTTACCGATGAGACTGCCGAAGCACATTACCGGTCTGACCATCGAAGAGATAAAGGATGCGTGTCTGAGCCTCAAGACGTACAGCGACAGCTCCTGGCGAGCCTTCTTCCACACTCTCATCGCGCTTTGCGCCTTTTTTACGTGGAAGCAAGCATGGACTATCCCTGGAAGCCTCATCATGAACGTGGTGTTTGGTGCAATGTACGGCTCTTTCTGGGGAACTCT